TAGCAACAGTAATCTCATTCAAAGGAAAGACAGCTCTAGCCTCTCAGCTTTTTCTATACTTAAGGCATGTACACAGGCATAAATGAATAACTCAGGCACTTCTATCGTTCCAAATATAATGGAAGTATTTTAAAACTTCCAGAATAGGCAAATTCTTGCTACATGGAAATTAAGTTGAAATACGGAGACCATATCTGTGTTATCTATGCAGCAAACCTTATACAACAAAGTGCAGCTTATAAGACAGAGAGAAGACATTTTCAATAAAACACTTCAATATAAACATCTCTAGGTATATTTTAGTTTTCTATACATGTGTCTACCTAATCATGAGAACTTACTTAAAGTTCTAAAAATACAAAGCATTGAAAAAAACAGGGAAGATGTTGCTAATGAATACAGTAGGAGTCATATCCCAGATTTTAATTTCCTAACTCACAATGCTTACTTTTCAAACAACCACCCTTAGATATACAGGGAGGAAAATAAAACACACACACACACACACACAGAACTTTGGAATTCTCTAATCTAGCTTTTACATTATTGAGACTTGTGCTTCTGATAAAATGTTACTAAGGAAAATTCTTGAAATCTTCATTTTAAATATCATAAGGGAAAATAATAAAATATGGAAGTCTTATATATCTTTTAATAATAGAAACAAGATAAAGTTATATACCTTGAATTCACACATACCCAAATATGTGTTATTTCAGAGTTCATTTCACATCTAAAAAAAACTTAATAAAGGGATAGAAATCAATGTTTAAAAAAATTTTAAGGTAGGCAAAACTGATAAAAAGTAATTACAATTATTAACCTCTGTCATCTCAGTTGAGTTGTGGCAGGTAGCTTTAAGTGGTAACTTGAGAAAGTGAGTGTGGAGTCTACATTTGTGTTGAGTCCTCTGTTAGAGCCCACAAGCAGAGCTACGCTTACACACAGGGATGAGCACTCCTGCCCTCAGCAGTGTAGGCGGCTTCTCAGCAGCAGCACCTCTCAGCCCTCTACTTTTCAGGACCTTGCTCTTCTCTAGAATGCTTTTGCTCTTGCCCCCTGGGAACTTTCAAATATTTCTACTTTATCCAGTTTTAAGCTCCTGCTCCTTAAAGCCTGTTTTTCAGTTCCTAGCAAATGTGAGGTCTTGCACTCATTTTGAAGCTGAAGTCCTTGGGTTGGAGGAGTAACTTTTCTATTTACTCAGCAGTACTCTTCTAAAAACAACAACAACAAAAAAAGAGTGGGTTAAAGATTTATTTACTTTTATTTGAAAGGCAGATTTAGAGACAGAGAGAGAGAAAGAGATCTTCCATCTGCTGGGTCACTCCCCAAATGGCCACAATGGCCAGAGCTGCGCTGGACCAAAACCAGGAGCCTGCTACTCCTTCCTGGTCATTCACATGGATCCAGGGGCCCAAAGACTTAAGCCTCTTTCACTGCCTTTCCAGGTACATTAGCGGGGAGCTGAATCAGAACCAGAGAAGCCAGGACTTGAACTGGCACCAATGACAGAGGCTTAATTTATTCCATCACAGTGCTGGCCACAAGCTGTGCTCGCTAACTTTTCATATATTTAAGCTCTTATATTCCATCAGGTTTACTGAAACAGTTAGTGTTATTAAATATTTATTGTGTTAGAATTTAAGACTATAACTTTTCCCAGTCAACTTGTGGTGCTAACTTTAGCAAAGTTAAAAATATAGATGACAGGCTGGCACAGTGGCACAGCAAGCTAATTCTCCATCCTACAGCACTAATATCCCATATGGGCACTGGTTCATGTCCTTGCCGTTCCACTTCCCATCCAGCTCCTTGTTTGTGGCCTAGGAAAGCAGGAGACAATGGTCCAAAGCCTTGGGACCCTGCACCTGTGTGGGAGACGCAGAAGGAGCTCATGGCTTCAAAGAGCAGCTCGGCTCCAAATGCTGTGGTCACTTTGGGGTGGGGGGAGTGAACCAAATAATGAAATCTCTATTTCTGTCATTCCTCCCTCTTTAAAACAAACATAAATAAGTCTTTTAAAAATATATATAGATGACAGTATTATTCCATTTCATTTCAAATCATTCTAAATCATTACTTGTGGCTACTGCAAGTAATTAACAAAAACTTTTTAATTCTCATAACTCAAGCAACATTGAAGAAAATAAGGTCAACTAGAGAAATGTCACGCAAATGTGTGGAGAAGAAATGATATTAAAGGAACAACAGTGGACAGTCACACTGGGCAGAGAACAGAAAATAAGAAAAAATAGTAAACAGCTAAGAAATCAGTGTGAACCTGGCAATGGAAACAGATGAACTACTCTTGGCAGAAATCCTCTCCTACCTGAGCAATTACAATAATATCAGCAATTTCCTTTACTATAACCCAAGTATAGAAAAAGAAATAAAATGCTAAGAATAATCAATGAGGAAATTAGTTTATGCCTCAATTTCTCCATCACCGAAATGAACAGCTATATGATCACCTCATTAGAAAAAAGACAGCACAGAATAAAGGCTGTGATTATAAATGCAGAAATGTAATCAAAAGGGTTGGCAGGGTGCTGGCCACATGGAAGCCAATGCCTTATTTTTTCAAACTACCCATGAGTTCATAAGAAATTCAAAATAAACAGACTTTGTAGAGAGCAGGCTGTGGAACCAAACCACCTGGGTTTAAATGAAGGCTCAACTGCTGACTGGCTGTGGGACAGGCTTACGTTATCTCTCTGAGCTTCTCTTCCTCATCTGCCAAATAAAGATAACAACAGTGTTTATTTCGCAAGCTACTGTAAGGGTCAAATAAATTAAGCCATGGAAATCACAACAGTGCTTGTCACAGAGCAGGCATTCAGTGGTCAGCTGTTGTTAGTAAGATTTCATGAAATTTAATCCAAGAATACACTGCTCTTGAGTTGTGCGTTAACACTATTGCTTATTCCTGCACTACTAACATAGAGGGATACTAAGAAATTTGAAACTCGAGAAAAAAATCTTGTAGCACCTGAGGCCAAATTTTAGCTCACTCAACTTTTTTCTATTAATTTAGGAATCAATGTCATATTTACATAGATATACTCATTTACTTTGTATTTTGTGTTTTTACTCAGAGACTCATACTGATGGAGAACATCTCTGTTTACTCTAGCCTGGGTTCCAGATAACGCTACATCAAAATCATCTCTACGTGGATAACCACCAGGGCCGTGAAAATGGCAGAAATAATTCTTCCTACAATTGATACTCCTCACCTCTTGCCACCAGCAGATATAGAGTTAAGTTTCAGAACTTGACACCTTTAGACTCCAGCAGGCTCACTCTGCTTTCCCCACAAAAGTTTATTATTTATTTCAAAGCCAAGGTTGACAGAGAGAGAGGCAGGGATAAAGAGCTCTCCCACCTGCTAATTCTCAGTCCCAGACCGGGACTGGACCAGACCAAAGCAAGGAGCCAGGAGCTTCATCTGAGTCTCCCACTTGAATGGCAGGGGTCTCAGACATTGGGTCATCATGTGCTGTTTTCCTAGGTGCATTGGCAGAGAGCTGGAGTGGAAGTGGAGCAGCCAGGAATCAAACCAGTACTCGAATGCTGGCATTGCAAATAGCATTGATCTTGAAACCTATCTAACATATAAGAACTATTTCATGTACTTCTCCCTTCCTTACCAAGAACTAAACCAACTACTACCATCAAAGAGAAAATCAATTGAGCCACTAGAATCTCGTAATGAAGGTACTGTCAAGTTCACAAATCCCTACATTTTACTCTTATATTGCATTTAAAAAAAAAAAAGCAAAAACAAAAAAACTCTTCCCAGTAGCTGAAGTCCTTACCTTTTATGTGCTGGGATCCCATATGGATACCAGTTCTAGTCCCAGCTGCTCTACTTCCCATCCAGCTCCCTGCTTGTGGCCTGGGAAAGCAGTCAAGGACTGTCCAGAGTCTTGGGACCCTGCATATGAGTAGGAAACTCAGAAGAAGTTTCCTAGCTTTGGACTGCTATTGCAGCCACTTGGGCAGTGAACCAGCAGATGGAAGATCTATTTCTCTATTTCTGCTTTTCCAATAAAAATAAATAAATCCCCTCAAAATAATGTTATTATTATTATAAAAAATTAGATTCTAACTCTTCCTCCCTGCTCTTCCTAGTCAATTTTGATCCAAATTCCAAAGTTTTAATGATTACAGTCTTTTACACTTTAGATATGTTACACTTATAATTCTTCAAAAAATATATACACTATAAATAGACATCTTTTGTGAAAACTTTCCTTTGTTAAAAGTGTTCCTGCCTTCACCTAAACCTTATTCAGTCACATTTCCATTTAACACATGATTTTTGCTCTTCTTACAGTTACTGTGAATGTGTTCCTCCCTCCCTTTCAAAATGTGAAATCTTGTCAGGAAAAGAAGATTTTATAAAATGAAACTATGGTATTATTGCAACACACCAGAACATAGCTGTGAGAGAAAATTAATTCTGTAAAAGTAGTATCTTGTTACTTCAGTTTGCCACTCTCATATTTTTCTAAGGATTTTTAAAATCAAAACAGTAGGCTTCTCACAATCTCATGTTCTCATTGACTTTTTCTCCTATTCTTCAGATCCAATTCTAAAAGAGACAAAACATGAATGAGAAAAAAATATCAAAGCCTAGTTTTTTTGGTTAACTAATACTTGATGAATAGTTAAGAAAATTTCTTCACTTTTAGCTGCTTGTGTCTCAGAAAGACTTGGCTTTATTTCCCCTAATCAAATGGTATGGGAAGAGAGTCAAATGAACCCTTTGATTTGCAGCCTGAGTTAACCCTAATGTTAGTATACTCCTGGGGGTGTTTCTAATCTTTTATCTGACAATACCTAGTGAAAACAGCAGGATTTCCCATCACAGAGATAAAAACTGCTAAAAATTGCTTGCAAGCTCAATAGAATGAAGAATGAATCTTAGCAAACAGTTGCTCTTCCACAAAAGAAAATGGGCTTTTAAAGTTTTTAGCCAGAATTCCGGTTACCTTAAGAAGACACTGTGTTCGGGATGGAAGACACTTGTGTATCGGACCCACGCACCAGACTCCTCTGCAGTTTTGCTAGCTTCAGTTTTCGAAAATAGATTAAATGATTCAAATCTTCTTACAGATACGTGTCGCAGACAACCATCCAGGTGTTTCTGTTTCAGAACCTTTAAAATAAAACCAAATACTGTGATATTATACAAACACAAGCCAAACTGGTTCAAAATTTAAGTGGCAAGAGAATTCTCATTTCCAACAACAATGAACTAAGTCATTAGCCCAATGTAATGAACAAAACTGAAAAAAAAAAAAAAGGATAAAACATCACTTGAAGCTTCAGAGAGTAATGAAGATAGGGAAGATTTATGTTTAAACTCTGAAAAAGGGGATAAAATTATAGAGGTAATCCAGACATCTGAAAGTACTTTCTCCTGGAGCTGTGTTAGGTTCGAAAAAAAAAAAAAAAGTGAGATTATAAGCAGTATTCTTTTATACATCTGATTTTAGCTAAAAGGCTAAGAAGTGATGCAGCAGTACTTCTTTTTTTTGTTGGAAAGTTAGATTTACAGAGAGGAGGAGAGATAAAAAGATCTTCTGTCTACTGGCCCACTCCCCAGTCCAAAGCGAGCAGCCAGAAGCTTCTTCCAGGTTTCTCACGCACATGCAGGGACCTAAGGATTTGGAATATCTGCTGCTTTCCCAGGTGCGTTAGCAGGGAGCTCCAGCTGCTGTGGCTCCTTGGGAAGTGAAATAGCAGATGGAAACTGTGTGTCTCCCCCTAACTCTTTCAAGTTAATAAATACATAAGATAAACATTTTAATGAATGAAAACACTCACAAAAAAAAAAAAAAAACGAATTAAAGAAAAAAATAAAATAACACTCATTTAAAAACATTAGAAGAAAGGGGGGAAGCAAATACAAAGCTTTAGAATCAAGAGTAAAAACAGGGCCTGGCGCAGTAATCTGGTGGCTAAAGTCCTTGCCTTGCACGCCCAGGATCCCATAACGGCGATGGTCATGTCCCAGCTGCTCCAATTCCCTTCCAGGTCCCTGCTTGTGGCCTGGGAAAGCAGTCGAGGATGGCCCAGGGCATTTGAACCCTGTACCCGCGTGGGAGGCCCAGAAGTAGGTCCTGGCTCCTAGCTTCAGATTGGCTCAGCACCAACCGTTGTGGCTACTTGGGCAGTATACCAGCAGATGGAAGAGAAAGCTCTTTGCCTCTCCTTCTCTCTGTAAATCTGACTTTCTGATAAAAATAAATAAATCTTTAAAAAAAGATTAAAAACAAAAGTATATTCCATACAAATCTGAGCCCTTGATAAAGAACATCTATTCAGAGTCATAATCATATCTAGACCCAGATGTGGCTGATCTCAGTGATGCTCCTGCCACAGCAGCAGAACACTGCTAAGAGGTACATTTTTTAATTCTGCAATAATGCCTAAAGTGAATTCAAAACACTAAGAGATTCTGCTTACTTCTTCACCTGATTCAATAATAAATAACTTGGGAAAAAGTAGTATCAAGGTAGAAAAGAAAAGGTAAGGAGTTAAAAAGCATCACAGAATGAAATGTAAGTTTTTCCTTAAGACATTGTTTTGTTTACTCGAAAGGCAGAGTTAGAGAAAACTGGAGAGACAAAGATGGAGCGTGAGATCGTCTATCTGCTGGCAAATGCTGGGCCCAGCTGAAGCCGGGAGCATTCTCTGGTCCTAGAAGTGGGTGGTAAGGAAACAGCACTTCAGTCATCTTCTGGTGCTTTTCACGGGTCACTTGAAGGGAGCTAGATCAAAAGTAGGACAGTCAGGACACAATTTGCTGTCCATATGGGAAAGCATCCCAGATAGCAGTTGTACTGGCTGCATTACCACTCTACCCCACAGGTCAAATAGTTTACAAATACAGTTTGGGGTCTGAGCGCCTTAGCCTAGCAGCTGGAGTCCTCATCTTGCATGTGCTGGGATCCCATACGGGTGCTGGTACATGTCCCAGCAGCCCTGCTTCCCATCCAGCTTACTGCTTGTAGCCTGGGAAAGCAGTCAAGGATGGCCCAAAGCCTTGGGATTCTGCACCCATGTCAGAGACCTGGAACAGATTCCAGACTCCTGGCTTCAAATCGACTCAGCTCTAGCCAATGCAGCCATTTAGGGAGTGAATCAGTGGACAGAAGATCTTCATCTCTGTCTCTCCTCCTGTCTGTATATCTGATTTTCCAGCAAAAATAAATGAATATTTTTGAAGTTATTGAAATAGTACTAAAATAGAGTTGTTGTTTCAATAAAAAAAAATTCAGCTCAATATTTTGAAAAGATAAAAGATAGCTTGCTTAATAAATGTGGGGCATGGGCCTGGCACAGTAGCCTAGTGGCTAAAGTTCTCGCCTTGCATTGGCTGGGATCCTATATGGGTGTTGGTTTGTGCTCCGGCTATTCCAATTTCCTTCCCAGCTTCCCTACTTGTGGCCTGAGAAATCAGTAGACGATGTCCAAAGTCTTGGGACTCTGCAACCGCATGGAAGGCCTATATGGAAGCTCCTGGCTCCTGGCTTCAGATCAGCTCAACTCGTGCCTTTGCAGCCACTTGGGGAGTGAACCAGCAGATAAAAAGTCTTTCTCTCTGTAAATCTGACTTTACAATAAAAATAAACAAATCTTTAAAATATATGTCTTTAAAATACATATATATTAAAATCTTTTATATATATATATAATGATTTAGCACCAAGATTGTAATTTCACTTTAACTTTTAAAGATTCTTTTTTCAAGATTTATTTATTTATTTTCATTGGAAAGGCAAATTTACAGAGAGGAGAGACAGAAAGACCTTTCATTCACTGGTTCACTCACTAAATGGCCACAATCACCAGAGCTGAGCAGATCTAGAGCCAGGAGCTTCTTCTGAGTCGCCCACACGGTTGCAGGGTTCCAAAGACCTGGTCCATCCTAATTGCTTTCCCAGGCCACAAGCAGGCAGCTAGATGGTGTGGAGCAGCTGGGACATGAACTGGTGCCCCATTGAATGCTGGCACCTGGAGGAGGATGATTAGCCAGTTGAGCTATCACACTGGTCCCAGGATTTATTTGTATTTTTTTTTTTTTAAAGATTTATTTTTATTATTTTTTCATTGGAAAGGCGGATATACAGAGAGAGGAGAGACAGAGAGGAAGATCTTCCGTCCGATGATTCACTCCCCAAGTGAGCGCAACGGGCCGATACTATGCCGATCCGAAGCCAGGAGCCTCTTGCATGTCTCCCACGCGGGTGCAGGTTCCCAAAGCTTTGGGCCGTCCTCGACTGCTTTCCCAGGCCACCGGCAGGGAGCTGGAAGGGAAGCGGGGCTGCCGGGATTAGAACCGGCGCCCATATGGGATCCCGGGCGTGCGAGGCGAGGACCTTTAACCACTTGCGCCACCGCGCCGGGCCCTATTTGTATTCTTAATTGAAAGGCAAATTAACAGACAGAAGGATAGGCAAACAGAAATTTTCCATGCCGTGATTCACTCCCAATGCATGCAAAGGCAGGGCTGTGCCAGGCCGAGGCCAAGAGCCAGGATTCATCATGTCTCCCAACTGAGTTACAGAGGCCTAAGTACTTGCCTTGCCAGGTGCATGACCAGGAAGCTAGATGGGGAGTGGAGCAAGCTATGACTCAAACCAGCATGTCAATATGGAGTACTGCACTACAACACAGGTCCCTATACCTTCACCTTAGAATACATGTCATTTCTATAACTTGTCTCTTTAGGCAATTTATTCAATTAACCAATCCAGGTAACAGATCTTGTACAGCTGTTTCTGCTGGAAACATTTTTAGTGACTCACAGGAAAATCTCTTCTTGGTAGTCAACTGTCCTTAGCGTTTTTCCTCGAAAGAAAAAGAGCAGTCTCCCCATCCTATGACTTTTTCAAAACACTGCTGCTTATAAACCACAACTTGGCTTGCTTCCATTAGAAGTTACAGACAGCAGACTGCCATTTGACCACAGCATACCATTAACTAAAACATAAACCCCAACTGTAAACATGCTACAATCTAAAACATGCATCTTGGAATCGATGAACAGTGGTTTGAAAACAATCACTGTTAAGGAACTTTAAATTCAAATGGGTAAAGGTCAGTACAGTGGTTCAACAGGCTAATCCTCCACGGCAAGTGCCAGTATCCTAAACGGGCACCGGTTAGTATCCCGGCTGCTCCACTTCCCATCCAGCTTCCTGCTCATGGACTGGGAAGGCAAAAGAGAATGGTCTAAGTCCTTGGGACTCTGTACTGACAGAGAAAATCCAGAAGAGGCTCCTGGCTTCGAATTGGCTCAGCTTCAGATGCTGTGGCCATTTGGGGGAGTGAACTAGAGGATGGAAGAACACTCTCCCTATATCTTCTCCTGTCTGTATATCTGCCTTTCCAATAAAAAATACATAAATCTTTTTTAAAGATCCAATTGCATAAAAATTTACCACCCAAATTAGAGGACTCATATATTGTTTACTTACATTGTTTCTATCCTATCTTTTAGGTTAACTTGCAACTTTTCAGTGTTGTAAACAGTGCCATGATAACCTCATTTGTATCTGAACATCTCCAGCCTTTATGAATATGGATCTAGAGACTTCCAGGCTTCATCCAATTAAAGTTGGCACTAGACTCAAATGCTAGACTTAGCTCATGACCCATTACCAATGATGATCTAGACCAGCCAGATTTTTCTCTCAGAAATGTGAATTATGAGGGTAGGTGTCTGAGCTGTTATGCCACTTGGGATGCCTACATTCCATAATTGAGCACCTGAGCCCTGACTTCCAATTTGTTTCCTGCTGATACAGAGTTGGCAAGCTAGCAGCTAATGGCTCAAGTAGTTGGGTCCATGCCACTCCCATGGGAAACCTGTTCTGGGTTCTGGCTACTGCCTTCATCCTAGTGCACCGCAGACCACTGCAGGCATTTGAGAAATGAAATCAGCAAGACAGGTAGGTGTCCTCATGCCAGACAGTTAACATGAAGGGCCATGGACAGCACTGGAGTTCAATGGGGTCATGAAAAAAATTACTAAGGTGAAAAGAGAAGCAAATGTTATAAAAATATCTGACACAAGAAAGGGAGTCACATACCTCTAGCATTGCTTAGATTCCTCACTATTCTGAGTACATATGAGACTAGAAGATTCATTTGAGACATTTACTAATATCCTGAAGATGTTTCATATGTGTGGTAGATTACATTATTATAAATATTCACTTCTTCCTCGCTCTTTTGCTATACCCAAGAAAACAGTATACTTCTCTGCCCTTTCACTTTAGACTTGGTTAAGAATCTTACCTTGACCAACAAGATGTTAGCAAACAGGATACAAAAGGAACTTAAAATGTGTGACAGACAAACCTTTGGTGCAATGGTTAAAACAGAGTTTCAGATGTCTGAATCCCACGTTAAGAGTATCTGGTTCAACTCCCAACTGTACTTCCAATTCAGCTTCCTAATGGGCCATACTTTGGGAAGGCAGCAGATAACGGTTTAAGTACTTGTGACTTGACATCCAGGTGGGTGACCTAAACTGAGTTTCTGGTTCCTACCTTCAGCCTGGTCTAGGCCTGACTTTTACAAAAATATGGAGAGTGAACCAGTCCATGAAAGATTGGCTGAGCTTGCCCTCTTATACGTCTACCATCACCATGAGAACATGTCAAGTGGTCCAATGATTAGGGCACGCAGCATATTCACTCAACTTCTGTCAGTAGGCTCCCAGGTGACACATAGATGCACAAAAAATAAGTGCTCCCTGCTATAACTCATTACAACAGTATGGCTGCTTGTTACTTAGCAACTGCTAACTGATGTAACTGATGTAACTAAGTGAGGTGTTACGGACCACTTAGAAAATTATCTCCACTGTCAAGCTATCCACAAACAACAGTATTTACTACAAATCAACTTGCCAGGCCCCATACTAGTGCAGAAGATGAAAGTTAATAATACATCATCTTTTCCCAGGAAGAACTCCCAATCTAGTGAAAAAGACAAACATTCAAATAGTCCCCCCCAAAATGTGGTCAAAAAACAATGTGATAAAAATTTGCTGGAACAGCAAGGACCAGTTTGGGTTGAAGGTCAGTCAGGAAAAGCCACTGTTCCTGCTATGACAGGAGGTGGACTGAGTAGGGCTGGCTCATGCACCCACTGATAAGCGTGAAACCTGGCATTGGGAGAGGTTCTGATGGAGGAGCCTGGGCAACTCCTCTGGCAGGACACAGACTCGGCAGGTAAGCGCAAGAAACATGATAGGAAATAGCCCAGAACAGGCCATGGAAAGTTACCCACTGGCATACAATTGGCAGGGGTCAGGGGAAGATCAGGCTGAATTTGTCCACGTCATCCACTGGCAAATCCAAACACCAGAACAGTGTGGGTTGAGCCAGGTTTGGTCGCAACGAAGACCAGTGCACAATACAGAATGCCAAGGTGAGGTTGCCTGTTCTGGAAGGGACCCCAGCGCCCAACCAGCAAGCATGAGAACAAGGAAGGGAGGGGGCAGAGCCGGCAGGGGAATAAATGGTGGTTCCTTTGCTGGAAAGCTACTCCCGCTGGAGAACATGAGCTGGGATGGGGGCAGACCAGACTAGGCAGGGCTGCAACACCTGTGCGCCTCATGTGGACTAGATCAGGGAAAAACCAGGCTGGGCTGATTATTCCTACTGGTGCAAACAAAATTAGAGTGGGTGAGGGTTGTTTGGGCTTAGCCACAGCATCAGCTGGCAGAAGCTGGCACTGGGAGCTAGTTCTGTCAAGTCAAACCACAGAACTATCTGGAGAGTGCATAATCTGGGAGTGGGAGAGACCTAGGAGGGAAATAGTGGGCTCTTCCCTCTTGGGTTACCACTTCCACGGGAGGACATAAAACTAAGACAGCAGCTGGGGTGGAATGGGGTATGGGACAGCCTGGACTAGTCCACTGGACATACTAGCAAACCAGGGTAAGGAGCAGACCTGGTGGGGGTTATTATGGGTCGCTCCAACTAGGCGGCAACTCCCACTGGTTTATGCGAGGGCCGGGTATATGCTGGGCAGAACCAGGCTGGACTGCAACACCCATTGGTACCAGTGGAAGCCGGGAGTGAAAACAGAACCAACCCAGTAATTGCAACCACCAGCTGATCGGGGCAATGGACTGTGCCGGGCCCTGTACTTGCTAGCACATACAAGAATCTGATTTGAGAACACCTCAGACAAAGTTTCTTTGGAGATCTCCACAATCAAAATGCTGGATTCAGAACCCTAACCAAGAAAAGAGAGAAGACAGAACAGGTCAACCAACCATCTCAGCTATATGTTGGCAGTGAAATACGGGGTAACCAGAGACTCTATGATGGACTATGTCAACCAGTGGATTCTTCAAGGACCTCATAGTGCTTGGAGTGGCAAGACTGGCAGCAATTCATACCGGTTGAAATATCAAAACCACATGAGCAAGAACCTCAGAGCATACCCTACATCCGGGACCTGGGGAGGGTGGGAAATTTGGTGGGCCTTCTCTCTTAATACCCCCCTTTAAACATGAAGGAAACAATATGGAAAAAATAAGTCTTACTCACTTTCCTGTAGCCCTTGAACCCTTTACCCTAATTAACTATGTAAAGATTGTCAAAATATATTTTAAAAAATGCAAAAAAAAAATTTGCTGGCCCTGATCTTAGGGGTGGCTTCACGGAAGGGCAGAAAGAAATGGAGGTGTGAAGAAAGAAGAGTCATTCAGTAGTAAGCAAGAAGAGAAGCAGGCACATGCGAGCTAACATACTACAAGTCAAAATGTGTAGAAAGTTCAAATAGTATCATAGCTGAAAAGTGTCTATTCTGACTTGGGCAGCAGCTCTGAGTGAATTTATATGCTGATGAGCTAGAGTTTTTACTGCACTCTGAAATAGTAAAATCATGTCATAGCACAGTGAAAGAACAAAGTGCGTGTCACAACGTTTACATGCATATCCAGGATGGGGACCCCTTATCTGAAATGTTTGGGACCTAACATGTCTCAAACTTTAGGTTCGGGAATATTTGCTGAAGCCTCATAATATATCTTGACAATGATACCCAAGCTTAAATAAGAAATCCATTTTTGTTTTGTGAAACAGCACCTGCATTTTCACTGGGACTGCCACATGAAGTCAAGCGTGAAACACCTCAAGTTCACATCATATCACGCTAAAAAGTTTCAGATTCTGGAACAATTCAGATTTCATATTCTTAGATTAAATATACTCTTTAAGAGTGTGTGTGTGGGGGTGTGTGTGTGTTTGACTAAGTTAAGGTCCTTCCTTATTCACTGGTTTGATTACTTTGTCTTCAAAGATGTTCACTTCACTAGAGACAGTTCCAGTGACATTGATTGATGAGGGTACTGTATTACCATTTATAACATGAACAGAAAAACCAGATCACTACGTGTCTGCAAGACTGTCAATGCAGCAGCAAAGAAACGATCTTTAGCTTAATGAATTACATTGTATCAATACTAAAAAAGCCAAAATATGCAAACACGACGTCCAAGAAAATCATTCCCTAAACACCAAAAGTACAGTCTCCAACAAGGCGGCTGTAGCCAGGCAATGCCTCGGCAACCAGTTAGAAATGGCAAGAAAAAGTTTTCTGTAGGAACCCTCAGGCAGAGGGACAACCCCGGTGTGTGAAACCCACACACAGTTAGGAAGGAGCACGTGTGTAAAACAGATTTTCCATCAGATGTGTAGAGGGAGTAAAGCCATCAGGAAAAGCAGCAAGTGGGAATTGAGAGACGCTCTGGTCATTGATAACACATGTCAGTGCACCCTGGCCCCTCCAAATGCCAAGGTGAGCAGGCACTGCGAGCATTCGAAAGACGGAAAGAATTTTCTAGTCAGGCAGCTCTTCACCTTCCGAGGAAACCCAGGCAACGCCAAGAACGTCACCGCCGCCAAGAGACGTCAAGAGACGTGCGGTCGGGGACCGGGCTGCGAGTTCGGAAGCAAGGAGAAACTCGGGGAAGCAAGCAGCACGGCAGCGGGACGGAGAGCCCACGGAAGGGGCTGGCGAGCAGCGAGCCGAAAGTTCTGCGGGCGCCGGCAAAAGTCCTGCAAGGAGATCTTCCCCAGGAGCCCTGCTACCACGACCGCTCCCCAGCCAGCCCAACCCCGCTGGATCCCTCCTTTTTTAGTAAGAGCCCTCGGTGAGGCAAAGGAGGCACTTGTCCCCACACAAACTGAAAGCGGACTGGGGCGGAGCTCCTTAGGAGCGTCAGCCGGGACCCGAGGCGAGCTCCGCACCTGCGAGGGGAGTGGCCGGCAGCACAGGTGAGGCGCGTCGGGCTCTGCCTTACCTGCCGCAGGAGCTTCCACCGGGCAGCTCCCAGGGACGCCGAGGCTGCTGGCCCCCGAGCCGCGCCGTCAGCTGCCGAGTCCTCACCCACGGCTCGCTCAGCCTCGCCCTCCCCGACGTCCGCGACTCTGGACTCCATCTCACCGGACCCGCCTAGACGTGAAACGTGCGGCGGCCACAGCTCTTTTCTGTCAGGACCTGCCTACTACTTCCCTGTCAGGACCTGGGACGGCCGGCCTCTCTCCTCAGAGGCTCCGGCAAGCGCGCCCTCCCCGAAGTCTGCATTTCCGGTATTCGCGTCTCCTTGACAACCAAGGAAGCGCCGTTACGTCACTGCACCATTTTGCTGGCGGCCATCTTGAGTGAGGGCACGCCAGAGGAGGAGGGAGTGTGGCAGAGCTAAGAGGACGCTTTGCCTCCTAGTTTTCTGCCTTGTTGTTTCGGCTAGAGCTCAGAAAATCAGCACAGACACCTGAGCCTTCCACCTTTCGAGACTCCGTGACATTCGGAGGGGAAAGTCCCTCCATGACCACGACAAAGATGGCGAAATCGGCGTGGCGCTCGTGCTGGAGCGGGGTTACGTCAGGCGGCGTGCTGCAAACCCGCGCTGGGCGGCCGAGGCCAGGTTGTCGCTGTGTGGGCTGCAGGACGCAGACCTCGGCTGGACGCCGCTGCGGTCGCTCCCGCGGCTTCCCGAGAGCTTCAGGGCCTCCGGCCTGCCTGCCCTCGTTTGTATACAGAGCCAGGCTGACTGAATCTGCGTACGTATGCGGGGCCGTCCTGGAGGGGTGTGGGGGGTCTCATCCCGTCTCCTCATTCATTCTTCCTCCACCAGCCACCCCTCAACCCGTGGGTCCCCGCTTGTGGACGTTTGTCCCTTGACTGCGGGGCAGCTGGTGCCACTCCGGCTCGCACTCAGGCCTTCTCATCCCGGGGGGTGGAGAGTTGCGCTGGAACGCCAGGAGGGTCTCCCGGGGGCGCCGGCTCTGTCTGCCCCACCCGCGAGCCGAGCCTTGCCTGGAGGCCTTCTCCCTCCAGGTGCAGGTGCGTGACCGAGGCGCTGGACGCAGCTGCGGGAGTTTAGGTCCCTTGTTAGGGATCTTTCCCCCTACCCCCTTCCTTTTAGCTGCCATCCATCCTAGCTGCTGCTCCCCATCCCGGCTCTCCCGTTATTTTGCTGCGACACAGACGACGAAGGGGGCAGGGGCGTCGTAGCGACGCAGACGTCCACTTTTGACAACAGGGGACATTTTGTGGAAGAGTTAGGCGACGACATTCAATAAACCTGCATTAGTCCTCTCCTGATCCTAGCGGTTGCTGCCTACAAGACGCTAACCTGAAGTTACCCAAGTTGCCTTATTAGATTCGTAGAGCAGCAACCCAGAAGGTCAGTGATATTATTATTTAAGGTTGGCAGAAACGGAGATCCAGAGAGAGTTCAGTGCACCTGGGTCTCTTTTAGTAACTGAAAACCCACCACCCAGCGGAATTGAGGCGCTTTCATGCTTTATCTGTGCATCACGCAGTGGTTTGTTTTTGGTCTTTTGTTTTTGTTGTTGTTGTTTGTTTTTTAAGAGCTGAATTACCTTCTTCACGTTAGAGTCCGATTATTTGTTTTGAAGATTTGGAATCGAACCACGTTGGACTTTTCACTGCCCTGCTTACTGTCCACGGAGAGCCAGTTTGCTCACCTGTAAAGGGAGTCAGATGAGCTACTTTATCAAATGACATGATATTTTAGTTAAACCAGGTGAAAGTTATCTGGACTAGAACCAACCCCCAGCAGATATCCATCACCCCTTCCCCATCACCCTTCAGTAATTGGATTTTTCAGTTTATCATCCAGTAGGTGCCAAAGATAGATCCAGCAGTTTGCACAAGGCCATTTTTTCTTTGTAAGCCCTAAGCTTTTCCTTCACTCCGTGCCCCGCAAAGCCCATTAACTTCTCTGCACATTTTTATTTTGCTTCTTGTTTTCTGTTTTTTGTTTTTTTTTTTTTAGTTTGTGCCCTCTTGTGTTCGACAATCAGTACTGGCGTAGTGTGACCCTGATAGAACTGACTCCCAGTGAGACACTCAAGTCACAACCACCGCGAAGTCATGATTTGAGTGAAGTGTTTTTCACACAGGTTTTTAGACTTCCCTGATGTGTCAGCTGTTGGCAGTTATTGATGACTGAACAGGGGTGCAGACCCCTGAGGGGAGGGATAAGAACTGCCAGTGTACCCCTGAAATCATTCAGGGAGCAAGGCCCCGGGACTTTGGTATCATGCAGCAGAAGACCAGATTATTTCTCCGAATTCTGAAGTATAGTATTCCTCAGCTGGGGAAATGCGCGCAGAAACAGAGTGTGAATCAAAGTACCTTCGCTGATCACTGTTACAGTAGCATAAAGCTGAATCACTCTCACCCCACCAAGTGTCTGCAGCGTAAACCCAAGATAACAGAGTTAGCAGGAAGCGGCCCGAGGAGGAGCTTCTCGTGGAAGGTATGAACTGTTTCAGGTAACCTGTCTGTAGGACGTTAAGATTAATTCCGGTGTAAGAATACAGACTGGATAGACTGTCAGAGAGACTGATTTTTCCCAAGTTTAATTTGATCCTTTTAAGCTTTTCAAGCCTAATTGTACAAAATGTAAGTATGGAAGAATATGTGTGAGGGTACTTCAGAAAGTTCATGGAAAAATAGATGAAAACATTTAGTTCAAAAAAATTGTGAAATCCCTACAGAGCTGTTTCATCATGCATGTTTTCCAAGAGCTTTGAAAAGATCCCTCATACATATTTATACGGTCCTAGTGTAAAATATAAAAATGTAGACTTATCAAAAATAATTCTCTTCAGGCCTTCCTTACTGTGCTTGCCAGTGGGTTTTAAAACACAGCCTTCTGAAAGTACTAGAATACTAAATTATAGCTCCTAATAAAACCTAATAATATTCTTAGTGTCTTATGAAGCCCAAATTAGTAAACTTCACTAAAAGCTATATAATTGTGTGCTGTTTCTGTTTTTAAAAAGTGAAATAAAAAACATTGAGATCTATCTTGAAGAGGAAGGGATCCCTGATTGCCCAAATACATTCACATGTCCGTTGTTACCTGGGTCAGTCAGCCTACACTTGTCACTTTTTGCAATTAACAGTGTTCCTTTTCCTCTGAAAAGCCTCCTGCTTATAATCGTACATTATATGGATATGAAGCTGTTTATTCTGCTGCCTCTTTAGCATACCTCCCTTCACCTTTTGCTTGTATGTCGTAAATTCTTTCATTAGGTTTGATGGTGGTATTCCTGCAGTATTTTAGCACAATTTACAATTTTAATTTGTTTAAAATATAAGCTTTGTTATATTGTACTTTTAATTCTTAGTTTAATTTTTATTTTGTTTCATTGGTGCTTTTGCTTGTACTCTATTTTGGCTTTCTCTTAATTGTAATACGTCGTGTACGATTTGCTGTTTTAAGTCTACAATCTTGCGACGTTACTTAACATCCACACTGCAGCCATCACCACTGTTTCCAGGACCCCGCCCCCCCCAATGTCTTAAGCTTAATTTCCCATTTTCCCTTTCCTTCAGCCACTAGTACCTGTCATCTACTCTTTTTTTTTTTCCATGATTGATTGATTGATTTTTGGGAAGGCAGATTTGTATAGAAAGAAGGCGAGACACCTAGAGAAAGATTTTGCATCTGCTGGTTCATTCCCCATATGGTTACAAAACGGCTTGAGCTGAGCCAATCCGAAGCCAGGAGCTAGGAGCTTCTTCGGAGTCCCATGTGGGTGTAGAGTCCCAAGGCTTTGGGCCATCCTCCACTGCTTTCCCAGGCCACAAACAGGGAGCTGAATCGGAAGTGGAGCAACCAGGATACAAACTGGCTCCAATATGAGATACTGTCACTTGTAGATGGAGGAATGGTCAGTAGAACCATTGCACCAGCCCCATCTACTTTCTATCTATACAAATTTGCCTGTTCTAGCTAGGTATTTCACATCAGTCAAATCATGAAATATTTATGCTTTGTGTTTGGTTCACTAAGCATGATGGTTTCAAGATCTGTTCATGTCACTGTGTTGCAGAACTTCAGTCCTTGTTACTTTTTTTCTTAAATAATCTTACTTAGTTGATTAGTGTGCAAAGGGTCAAGCGCTACAGGAAAGTGGGTATTACCATTGTTTCCACTCTAATATCATCATTTTCCCCCCAGTCCTTGTTACTTCTGAATGCTATGTCATCCTAAGCATAAGGCCACGTTGTAATCATGTCATCTGTTGTTTGAATGGTGGCCAGCTGCTGCTTTTTTAGCCTTACCATTTTTCTGGTTTTTACCCCGGTGTGGCTGTTTTCTTAGCTCATACCTCCTATGGCATGTGTATATACTTATTTCTTGTATCATTTTATCTCTCAGTCTTCTCACTCACCTAGGCTTTCACTTTTCATGTTTAGGTCTTTCATATTATTTTCCTTTTTATAGATCTTACCTTAGTTGAAACTGTCTTTATTCACTTAAAAATCCTTACATCTTTTTATTTTTGTTAAAATTTGTGTGTTTTTTTTTCTCTAACATTCTTATCTTGTTAGAACAATAAAAATGCCTAAATTGTACCTGCTGGACCAAATTTAGGCATTTAGTTGGTTTTGTGTCTAGAACATTTTGTCATCATGTACTTTGAACTCAGTTTATAAATAGTAGATGGGAGTTACCATCATTAGGGTAACAGCTGTGAGATGAGCTCACGTTCTAAAGGAGGTTGATTATTTTTTCTTCCCATTTGTTCCTGAAACAGCTTTTCAGGTCTGTCTCATAGATTCCCAGTATTTTTCTACCTGACTCAGTGACCTAAAGAGAAGAACCTGTGTCAGCAATTCCTTGACCTGATACAGTGTCCTGCTCTGAAACGTCAGACAGAATTCCTTGTATGAGAGTGATCTGCTCTCAGAGCCGTGGTCTTCATCCCTCAGGATCACTGAGACCCTGGCAAGCTTTGTAGAGATTCCCCTGGCTGCTGTGGGAAGACCTCCAAACAGGATTGCACCTGCCTTCTGTTAGCCAGCATCCATTGAGTTTCAGCTTTGTTTTCTCACAGGTGACAACAGAGTAGGAAACATAGATAATCTTTAGGCAAAGTAAAATATGACTGCCTAAGTACTAATTCACCAAGTTGGCAAAAAAAAAAGCAACATGTATAATAGGAATGATAGGAATGCTCGATAGCGAAAGATTTTACATGCACAGTCCTCCCCCCCCAAAAAAACTGATGTGCCTATTATCCCTTAGTGT